CATAGAGTGGCAATTAACCACTCTCGATGACCGGAACCACATTCTACAATATTTACTTATTGTTATTGTTTTTGCAGTACTGGGGAGTGAACCCAAGGGCACTCTACCACAGAGCTACTCCCCCCAGCCTTTTTTTTTTTTTTTAATTTTGAGACTAGGTCTTACTAAGTCAACTTTGGACTTTGGATCCTCCTGCCTCAGCCTCCTGAGTAGCTAGGGTTAGAGGTGTACGCCATAGTACCTGGCTACAATATTTATTATATCTTGCATTTTCTCAGCCCTAATCACTGAATAAATGAATTCCACTAGAAAAGATAGAAAATAGTCCTGTTTTGCCCATTCTGTTCTCTGGTCATAATTATCTAGTCCTCATGTCACACATTAAATCCTCTTTTACCTTCGATTATGTTAATTATTCTTGTATAAGCAGAGTGGAAGGCTTTTGGGAAAAAAAAAGATGAATCAGATGGAAACCTGTGTTTCAAAGAAACTAAGTTTAATAGGGGAGATACAGTTAAAAAAAAAAAAGAGGTGAGAGAATGAAAGATGTAGTGATAAGTAAGTTCATAAAGGTGACAAATGTTTGCCATTCAGGAGGCTCTAAGCAGCATGGACTGATGCAAAGCACCTACTCAGGCAGTGCTATCTCCTAATTTTCTCTTGTAGGACTCTATTAGGCTTCCCTGTAAATATTCTACAGGAGATTAGGAGTTTATAACGGTTTATGCCACAGCTCATGTAGTATACCTATAAAAGATTTTTGTCATAGCATTATATGTAAAGCCATGTTTTAAAAATCCATCCCAAAGAGCAAATAATATTATCCCAAAATATCTGGAAAGGAATCCTGCATAATATAGTGCTTTTTAATGTCTTAATATTTCAAAGATCTCGAAAGATAGAACCGACTTTATAGAATCCTAATCTACTTGTCAGGCTATATATGTAACAGTTCTCAGCTTTTTAAAAGACATGACCATTTTGATGAACATTACAGGTCCCACCCAGCCTGTTCTTCTCTGTGGAGAATTGTCCATCTGTAATGATTTAAGCAAACACAGGACCAAAAGATCTACAGCACTCTCCTTAAATGATACCTATCTAAACACATACTATAGATCTGTTTTCATTAGCAAAGAGCATTTGAAACACCTCAACCACATTTATTTATTCATTTATTYATTYATTYATTCATTTATTTATTTATTTATTTATTTTTGTGGTGCTGGGGATTGAACTCAGGGCCTTGTGCTGGAAGGCAAGCAAGCTATCAACCTAGCTATATCCCCAGCCCTCAACCACGATTTTTAAAAACGGTCCTCATTTTCTATGAAATTCTATTTGAAAAACCACAATTACATTTCCTGAAAGAAGCAGCTTAAAATATAAAAAATATGGTGAGCTATGGATTAGCAGAGGTGAGGATACTTTTTCTAAACAATACTAGGCTTTTTTACTTTACAATTAACAGTGGACTCAACATACCAAAACTATAGAGATTAAATTTAAGGCCCCAACTTTTTGTATGCTATAAATTCACCTAACCTTTAGCATAAAAGACCCTCAATAACTGACGCGCAGCAAAATTAAAAAACCGAGCAAAAAACACAACCCAACAAAAAAACTTACCCCCTGGGGCAGCTATACATTTATTTATTAGTCATATCTCAAAGTGCTTTATTTAAAATGAATTGAGTGTTCATGGACATTAAAGGGGGTATATTTAAACAACTCTATTTCAGATTATATGAGGACTAACTTAAAGTACAGTTTTAGCCATAGTAGAGTTAACTAAGGCCTAAAGTATTCAGAGACCTCAGAAATTTTCCTATTCAAAGGATAGATTCACATCCCAAAGCTTCYGCCTGGGAATTCGGGACGTAGCTGTCAAAGGCAAGATTGAGGGAAGGGCTCTATTGGGTCACCGAAGACAAAGGCGGGCCGCTGCGCCCCCTCCCCGCCCGCAGATCCTCGCACATGCGCTCGCACACGTAGGCGGGAGCCGCTGGCGCAGCCGCACCCAGCACACGCGGCCGCCGCGTGCGGACCAGAGCCCTGGGGCCCAGGGGCCGCGGCCCGGGCGGGGGCCCACGACGGGGTGTTGCGCCCGAGCACGTACCGGGGCGTGGCCGGCAGGGCGGAGGGCGGGGCTTGCGGAAGTTTCTCCTGGCGGCTAGCGTTTCGCATCCTCATCATGTAGTAGTACCGGCGGCGCCGGGAGCAGGAGGGAGCCGCGTTCCTTCCGCGTGCTTGGTGTTTTCCTCGCCGAGGTTCAGGCCACAGCCGCTCTCAGGCACCTGCCTTTCTCTCCGTCCCAGAATGGAGCCGGGAAGGAAATTAAAATAGTACACGGAGATCGGGTGTCTGGCACCATCCTGGATAAAAACCATCAATTAAAGGTAAGAATAAACATTATGTCCAAACCTCTGGAAGGTGTGAACACAACAAACTCCAGAAGGCGATGATAGTAAGGTTTGTGGTCAAGTGTAGCTTTTATCCGACAGGAAATTATGTCGAATTAGATTCTACACATTGCTTTAAACGCGAAATAATATGGATAACAGGTTCAGCGCTATTTAAAGGGAAGAAATGAGCAAGGAGGTTAGTGGCAAACTTAAAACACCCCAATAAGGTTTTTCTTCTTTACATTTTCCGTGGTTCCCACTAGCAACATGTATGCAAAGGTTTTATCTAATCAAATTATAAAGTTAAAAAAATATTTCGTATTTGTAATTTGTTTTTGACATTGCTACATTAAAATTCTTACCTTTTAGAATGTTTGTTTCTGCAAAGCTGGTAACTAAATTTATCTTTCAAACCTCTTGGATGTTTACATGAGGAAATCAAGATTGGAAGGGTTAATTGTGAGGTTATACAAGCGCAAATGAAAATGAACATGTCTGTTATGCCATTAAGTCCACCATACCATACGTAACAGCCTTTTATAGTTCAAATGCTTTCCCACACACTACACCTTGTTTACCAGTGAGTTAATAATCTCTCTATAATCTGGAATCTGAATCTTTAGTTCAGACCCCAAACCCACTAAATAACTCTTTGAAATAATTTTATTCTATATATGTCATGCCACTCCTTTTAGGACATCCCTCAATGTCCTGGGTGACCTCAATTCCAAGTGACAAATGGCCTTCAGTTTTATACACTCCCTTTATTTTCCCCCATTTACTATTTAAACAGTTGAAAATGGGGGACAAGGATTTGTTCTACTGGAGTGACTAGTACTTTCTGCATGGTGGTTAGCACCATGGGCTTTKGAATCACTGATGGCCTGCTCAGCAGCTTTGAACATTGGGCCAACTTTCCCAAGACTTTCAAATGTACAAAGTGAGATACAAGTACTAATTCATAGGGATTTGTGAAAAGTGTGAGATAACAAGCAAAATGCTTAGCACAAAGTCTAGTGTATTCAACAGATGTTAGAGTCATTTTATCTCTGAGCACTGTACCTGGCAGTAGTAGGCTTGCTCAGTAACTAGTTTCAGTTCTACTCTTAACAGATRAACAAAATATGCTAATCCCTTCTGCCACACTTTCCTCAGGATGAAAGTAATACTAGTCATTCATTCATTGCATCAGAAAAGAGATAGGAAGCATAGACATATAGGGAGGAGAGAGGAATATAAGGATAAAATGACATTGTTGGGTTATACTCTTTGGATGAAGGCATTATAAAGAAATTCCTGATGGCATACAGTGCTGGGAAGGAAGTGCTAGTTGTGTTTACATAGTTCTAAGCACTCCAGGTGACTTTTTTTCTGAGTAACTGAGCACTTAGTACTTTTCTTCTAGCTCACCTGTTCTTTAACATGGYTTTCCCTTCTAAATCACTGTCCTCACAGGTCATTTTTCCAGACTTCTGGCCTGTTGTGTAGTAATCCCATTTATTTACATTTGAAAATTATAAACTTCTAGTTTTCAACTGAAACAAATTTTCTTAATCAATAAGCATAATTCTAAAATTTTGTGATCTGGTAATATTAAGCAACTACTTTATTCTAAAGTGTCACCTCTGGTAATATCTGTTACTAAATGAGAAGTACGCTGGGTCATAGTATTTGGGGTGAATTATACCTATGTCCCCAAGGTTCTGGATTTAATATCAGTATTGTGAACTTTTGTTCCCAAATTTTCATGTAGTTGTTGTCCCKTTCTAAGAACAGCTATTTAAGAGATCTATAGCTAGTTCATCTTGTTCAGGATACATACCTCAAGATAAAGAACCTAGGGCTCTGGCACAGCCCATGTAATTTATCAATATAAATAAATTTGGGGGACTCAGTGTATAGCTCAGTGGTAGAGTGCTTGTTTTGTATTTGTGCCTGGGTTCAATCCCCAGCAACACACACACGTGTGCACTTTCTGTTACTTTAGGTGCAGAGATTAACAGTGATTTTTGTCTTATTTTCATATCTTTCTATACTTAAGAAATAGCTGTTTTATACAAGAAAAGCATAGCAGAAAGAAAGCTATTTAAAATGAAAATACAGAATGATTAAAACAAAAACAACTAATGTTTGTTGTATGTTTAACATTAGATTCAGAAGCTCTAAGCTAAATCTTTGGTCTACATTTATTACTTTTATGGCTTGAGCAAATCATTCATCATTTGCGGTCTAAACTTTTTCATCTGTTAAGGAACCACTAACCTTTACAATAGTATATGATTACAATGTCCATGATTTGCTTCACTCATTTCATTTATACTAAAAATATTAAAATTTTGTGTTTTACACTTTAATAGGCTCATAAATTTACAAACGGCAGTTTTCTTTTCTAAAAACATACTYTTTACAATGTAATACTATGGTTATTAGTTAACATGACATTTAGGGACACAGCATACATTAAGATAATGGCAATGAGATAAATGCAGAAGCATACAATGTAATTTTCATAAAGTACTTAAATTGTTAGGAAACAATTTCATGAGCTGGAGATGATGCAAATGCTATTTAAACATAAAAGCTAATCAAAGGGGGCCTGGTCCACAGAAGATGTTTATTTGATATAACAAAACAATACAGTTAGTGTTAGACCCAACCACAAAGAGCAAAGGAATGAAAAATTTATACAATGTACATAGAAAAAAACAAGATGTTTACTACAACAACTATATATTCCTAAAATAATGCTTCTAAATGACTCAATCATTGAAATCTATATGAAAAAAGAAGGATGTTAATAGCGACAAAGTGCATAAAACCAAACATCATATTTTGAGCAAATTAACATACTAGGCAATTTTACTAACAATGCATGATTTTTTTGTTTGTTTACAGTCTGCTCAAAATCTTTATACCAACAGAGTGGGTAGAACATTTAGGTTTAATATCAATTACACAATATTAGCATAAACTTCCACAACTACATAGGCTATTGTTTTCTTTTCAGCTGGGAAAGTAACTACAGAAACATCAGATGATTTCTCTGAACTGAGAATTTTATCCAAATAAATGCCACATACCTTCCAGATATATGCATATCTTTCTATATCATGTAAATGGCTTTACCCATTTAAATAATAAACCATACAGCATTTAAGAATCATTATTATAAGATTAACAATGTCAAGTTCCAGGTTTAACAATTTTATAGGCCAAAAAAAAATTTCTTCTTAAAAACTAGTTTTATAAATGCAGGATATATTGCATGAGTAACTGCTGGTACTTTTTAAGAAAATATATTGTGCAATTGTGGCTACCATGTACTGCTGGCAAAGCATTATTGTTTATGTAAAATGTGAAAAATGAGTAAAAATGTTTCAGCTGTTTGTGATCATGATGAAAGGTTACTGCCTTCTTAAAAAATTATATTGGCATCTTATTAAAAATAAATCAATAAGGGACAAACTCCCTAGCCAAAAATAAATAAATAAAAAGGTGCATTTTTAAATGATGCTACTACAATGCAATGGTTCAAACACCAAAGATCTGTGAAAATGTGCTGTCTGTGATCTAGCATTAGAGAACATATTAAAAAAGAGCATTAATGTAAATTAAGTAGAAAGGGGATCAAAATTGAACTATCTGAGTTTGTGCAGTATTGTAGCCAGGCTTCTAAAATTAGATATAGAAAATATAAATAGACTGCTTTAGGTAATGAGCCACCAGTGTCCAAAAAATTAAAAAAAAAAAAAAAAAAAGGAAAAAGAAACAAAAAGGAATGAAATCATGAAAAAGCTCAGTTAACTTGATCCAAAGCTCTGAGTAATTCTTCACCCTGCAGTAGGTTTCTGCTGCCTTGTATAGGAGCGTTAACTTCACAATCATAACTGGTCAGCTGTGGTAATCCACTCTCATCCATTGATTGCCCCAGCAGTTTACATGCTAAATCTAAAAAAGAAAGAAATACACAARTATTCATTAAATTTATTAAACTTCCACTATGCATTAGGTTTGGGGGAAAATAAAACAAACTTCTGGATGGGTTTTTAGTCATTTGGCCAAAACCACAGCAACGTAAACAAATAAATGCAGTCAAGTATTATTGGTGCTAGATCAGAAATTTTTTTAAAAAATATTTATTTTTTAATTGTAGTTGGACACAATACCCTCATTTTATTTATTTTTATGTGGTGCCAAGGATTGAACCTAGGACCCTGCACATGCCCGACAAGCACTCCACCGCTGAGCCATAACCCCAGTCCCACATCAGAAATATTTACAGGATGTCTCCTGTAAATAGAAAAGGGCATAGAAAAGTGATAAATCAGTTTGGTAAAAGAATTCATAAGCTTCCTCTTCTATCAATATTGATAGCACATAAAGCTAGATACATCAGAAAGAATTACTAYAGAGTGAAAGTTCCATCTTGATGTATCTACCCTAAATACAGTCAGTAGATTAAATGCTATTACACTTTACTTTTTCCATTTTGCTAAGGAATCTAAATCACTCTCACTTGGAGTAAAGCTCCTGGAAAAAAAAATTTCATTTATTATAATTGTCCTTGTGATGTTTGAGGGCAAAACAAACTAACCAGAGGGTATTAAAATAATTGTCTTTTGCTCCATTCCATTCTGTTCACTAGATTTGCATCCTTTTACACGTTTCCAAGAAAGTGATGTAGTAGTTGCACGATCATCTGGTTGCTGTAATAGTGTGCCCTAAAAAGAGTAAGTTATTTCAAGTTTATTATGTTGAATTTTTTTTTTTACAATTAGACTTTGAAATGCATTTAAGTTTAATAGCAACATATAGGCAGGTTTCTTAATACTGCCCTATATTATTTTTATTCTTTCTCCTAATAATAACTATGGTAAAGCCATTTGCTATTCATTATTACACAGTGGTTTTTACTAATAAGGGAGAATAACACAAAGAAAATGAGATCAGAGGTGATATCTAGAGTGGAGAAATGTGAGAACTTYGTTTCTTACTCAGAATTTATCTGTATTGTTTAGAATTTTTACTCCAATAATGCATTCATTAACTATTTTTAAAAATTAGTGTGTATCAAATAAGAAAGCCCAATGTATCACTTCTTAAATTGCCTATATATAACTTGAAAGTAGCACATTAGCTAGAGTAGAAAAGCAACATGTTACTCTCACTTACAATTCCTACTGCTTGAAAAAGTGAACCATCTTGTTCCATTTTTCGCTTTCTCTGAGCATTCTGCAAAGCTAATATCTTTGGATTTAATTCTTCCTCAGGAACTGTATTTCTGGAAAAGAAAATGTTCTAGATAAAATATCTATCAAGCTCTTTTAAACAAAATGCATAATATGCCCTAGTTTCCAACATTAAGGAATATAATGCTGTGTACATAATGGAACTTTCCTGACTGCTAACATTTATCACTTTAAAAGCAAAAGCTAGGGATTTAACCCAGGGCCTTGTGCATAATACAAGATCACTGAGCTATACCCCTCACTCAGAAGCTCACTTTTTACAACAGAAAATTTTCTAAACCGTATGTAACCCTATTTTATTTCTTAAAAAAGAAAATTGGAGAAAGGGTGCCATACTGGGAATTGAACCCAGAGCCTCACACATTAGGCAAGTGCTCTACCAACTGGACTACATTCCCAGCTTTTTTTAAAAAAATATTTTATTTACATTTTAGTTTTMGGCAGAGACAATATCTTTGTTTGTATGTGGTGCTGAGGATCGAACCCGGGCCGCAACCATGCCAGGGGAGCGCGCTACTGCTTGAGCCACATCCCCAGCCCCCATCCCCAGCTCTTATAACCCTATTTTATGAAGTAGAACCAAACAAAACTCAGTTGACATTATTGTAGATAAAAGAGTTAGGAACTAGCCTTTTTTCCACTTAATTAAGAATACACCAATATTCTCAGGATTACTGTAATGTAAGATTGATTTCACACTTGTCTAGTGTTTCAGTTATTAAAATATTTCGTATTCATTACTTCATTTTAAACTTGCTCCAGTTCTAAGGTATGTATGWCAGGTGTTGTCATACCCATTTTATAATTAAGAAACCTGAAGCCTATTAGGTAAGTTGGTCAGAGTCCCACTGTTAATTAGTTGCACAAATGGAAGTACACTCCAGGTCTCCAGATCCACCCTTTCCTCCATTGGCCTTCTTATTATTGTTAATTTTGCCCTTAGTATTGATTTGGTTATCAAACCTGTGCTACCTGTATGTAAAACTAATATTAAGTGGTGAAGAATTGTAATAAAGAGCCAAATATGTGGGTTACATTTATTTTGGCCTTTTTAGAACCCCTCCCTCTCATAATATATATCATAATGGCTCCTTGGTCTGTCCAGATAGTTGAGAATGCGAATAGGTAAGCAATATCACTCTAACTCCCTTTCTATATGCATTTTGTTCTGTTAAAAATTGTATAAAATCTCTAGTCTATAGACAGGCAGGTTTTAAAACTCTTATAAATATATTKTATTTATGAAACATAACTCAGTCATCATGTAAGTACTTAGTAGTAGTACTTTTAGTAATTTATCTTTAATTCTCACTCTAAAACTACAAATATTCTGGTTTAGTATAGCAMTTTGATTTTGTAAATAATTACCTAACAAGGAGGGAGAAAAAAGTCTCCATATAAACTTGAAAGTTACAAGTATACCCATGATTTTAGAGCTAATGTTATAGAACTAAGTGATCTGATATTAGATTTTTTTTAATGTTTATTTATTTTTTTAAAATATTTTTTAGGTGTAGATGGACACAACATAATGCCTTTATTTTTATGTGGTGCTGGGATCGAACCCAGGTCCCACCTGTGTGAGGCAATCGAGGTACCACTGAGCCACAATCCCAGCCCATACTTTATTTATTTTTATGTGGTGTTGAGGATTGAATCCAGTGCCTCACATGTGCGAGGCAAGAGCTCTACCACTTGAACTATAACCCCAACCCCTAGATTTGGTTTTGACAACTAMAAATCCAAGGAATAGTTGATCAGAAAATTGAATATCCCATCTTCTATAGCTGATAGTATGCAGTAAACAACAGGTTATTATCATTTATATTATTATATCCATTTTATCACTCCAGCAAGCAAGAACTATCTGTCAGGAACTGAGCTAAGTATTACTATCACTCAAATGCCCAAGACACATTGCCCTAGTGGAGCTCAGGGTTGGAAGTCAGTCATTGTTGTAGTAATTTGTAAACTATTTCTGAATTTAAATCTAAAGCCCCCAGATTTTTTTCCTGGCATTGTAGGTCAAGGTAGGATGCAGGACAGGGGAAGAAGGGCATATACTCTGGTTATGGTAGTTCTTTCCTATTGCTGTTGACAGCTGGTTCAGTCTAGACATAGTAAAGCAATCACTTTTCTTCTCTATACTGACTACCTAAAACCTCTTTCCTCTAATTATAGTTRAATTTAAAACATGTCAAATCCAATTACAAATTACATAGAGAAAAATTTTTGGTACTGGGGATTGAACCCAGGGATGCTTTACCACTGAGCCATATTCCCAGTCCATTTTATTGTGAGACAGAGTCTCTCATTGTTGCTTGGGGCCTCCCTAAGTTGCTGAGGCTAGGCTTGAACTTGCAATACTCCCACCTGGCTCTTGAATGGCTGGGATTACAGGTGTGCACCACCACACCTAGCTATAACTTAAAAATTGGATTATAGCCACRTATTTGTTCAAACATTGCTTCATTCCATAGAAGCAATGCTAAAGTCACTGTGGGATTCTTGGTACAGGCCTCCCACCTCGCCTTAAAAACAACAACAACAACAAAAAAAAAACATTTAACCTATAATATAGCTAATGTTGTACAAATATCCAATGAAAAATAAGAGCAAYTTTTATTCAATACTAGCCACTAAACCCAGAGCCTCATATATGCCATGCAAGTGCTCTGTTTACAAATCATGTAACATCACACATTTATAATAAAAGAACTATAACTTTAATATAACAAGAACTATAACTTCAATGTTACATATAAATACCTTTGACTCAAAGTGACAGATACCACGTTAGGGCTTCTTGGATGAGATTTTTCTGTCTGTTCTATGACTCCTTTTCCTGCTCTGTTTGGTGAGGCGGTTCGACTTTGAGTATCATTATATGATGATGTTGTGGCACTAGTAGTTTCTTTAGGTGCATGGGTGGGAGACCAAGATGCAATCAGTATTTTAATGTCTTCCATATCATCTTTTGTCACTGTTTTTAATTCATCAGTGGTGGCAGTGGTGGTATTAATAGTAGGTTCTTGAATTTGAGTCTGCTGGAATACTGAAATTGTGCTCACACTTTGAGGGCTTGAAGAACTGCTTTCTAATGGTGACAGCTGATCGAAGGAACGTAACTGGAAATCATCATCCATTGGGATATAGGGGGCCAACATCTCCAAGTCTAAATCAGTGTCCTTTAAAACAACAAATATGTGAACTTTTACAATGGTCATACCTTGTAAAAGAAAAATAAGTTTWGTCACTTTAGACTACAAATTAATTAAACTCATTACAAAATAAACAAATCCATATACCTGAGTTGAAAATGGATTCTTTGCTTCTGTGTCTTCAGCAAAAAGTTTCTCTACCAATTCCAACTTGAATACATTGACCATATCACTATCCACGTCAAAACAGTATTCACTGGGACTGTTAGGCTGTAAAAGGAATTAAATGTGTTTGTTTCCCTGAAGAAGCCTCCATCTGTTATGCTAGCCTACAATTTCCACCTCAGACCTCCGAAAACATAGACAAAATCCAATAAACAAAACAATCTAACAAAAAGTTACATGCTTGAGCTTGTACTGGAATGAATTTTGCCAATATACATATTCCACACTATATGACATCATTTGTAAAATTAAGATTAAAAGATGCACTCATCTATTATTCTAAAGAATAAAATTTACCTAACCCATAATGGTAGCTAATTGGCCAATTAAGCAGATGATGTGTTCACTAGAACCTGCCTCTGTACAGAGAAGGCACACTCCTGTGGTGATCTACCTAAAAATCTTACAGCTACTTTAAGGGGTGAAGACAGAAACAAATTCTTTCACCTGCATACACCTTAATGGATATATTACCATTTTTAAAGTTCTGGGCATGAATTCTAACCAAAAACCATAGTTGTGCATTCTAAGTATAAAATTTTACTTTCCCCCATTATACCATTTTTTTTTTATTAGTTCACTTTTGTCAAAGACAAAATAATCAAACATTTTTTGTGGTACTCAACTAAGCAATCAGAGCAAAGGATATAATTTCCAAAAGACTGAGATTTCACATCTCCTACTCTTAGCATGCCAATTTTGATTAATAAGTATTTAATGTAGGATTATTTACCACTTATTGACGTATTTGTGCCTCACATACCATTCAGATCAAAGCTGCCCTACTCCTGATCATAGTTTTAGTAAGAAGAGGTTCTTTTATTGAGTTTTAGGACTATTAATATCAAGAAATCAGATTGAAAATCACTAAATATATAATCTGTAAGACTTTGTATTTTCATGCTATACTTATCCAGAATTACAAAATAGTGATAAAAATTGAACTAAATTGGGCACAGAACTTGTAAAGCCCTTTCCCATTTAAACTCTGCTAAGCTTTTTTGCCACTGGAGAGTTTTCTAGTTCAAAGAGGTGATAGGTATAGGCTAGAGCTACCTGGAGTACATGTAAGTAGTTGTATTCTCTGTGGATATGTAAACAACCTAAGTTTTACATTCAGGTTTATACAAAGCCAGTTCTTTCTCATGTTCCTGTCTCTGAGCCTAAAACGTGTTGAATTCTACATTAGGCTGATAGCTTATAAATAATTTTAGAGTGTTAAAAGATTAACACATAAGAGGCTGGGGATATAGTTCAGTTGGTAGATTGCTTGCCTCACATGCACAAGGTTCTAATCCCCAGTACCACATTAAAAACAAAAAAACCCTGCTTCTCCCCCAAAAGATTAATATATAAAGTGACATGTCCAAATTATAAGTGTAAATCAAATTAAAAAATATATACCTGAATTTTAAAATCTGAAAGTTATTCTTATCATGGCACCTACCTCAGGCGAACTCTGTCTAGTGCTTCCATCAGAAGGACTGGCTGGTTGATCTTGAATCTGGGGCATGGTAAAAGAAAGTTCCAGTGACTCTGGATTTGGCTCTAATTTTAATGCAACTTCTTGATTGAGTGCTGGGTCAGCACTACTTCGAAGTGGCTTTGGAGTTTCAGAGGCAGGTAATGGAGACATGGCCAGATTTATATTTTGTAATTTCTCACTGGATGAGGGGAACATTACATCATTATACAGTGGAACTTCTTCAAGTTGTTGGTCTTCAGTTTCTGTGTCTGAAGGGGGGAAAAAAATGAGTCAACCTAAAGAATATAAAAACTTTAACCCATAGAAGGTTGTTCCTTTTTACAAGATTTGTGTAATTCACTTGGGTGATAAATGGTGACAAATGTAAACCATGTTTTCCTTAATTGGAAAGTTTGCAGATATGGTATAATCATAAGTCTTGACTTATCTTTTTAGTCTACTACTGGCACCTTCTGCTAATCTATATGGGATAGACCTGCATTTCCAACCTTTCTATACATTGAATTTTAACCTGGTTTGAAATTACAATAATCTAGTTCCCATTTTCAGTGTTTACTATTATGGTATGACTTCTTATTTATCCTTTAATTCAACTACATTGACTGCAATATGGCTCTACTAAATAGTGCAGAAAAATCTGACAGCAGTATATAGAAATAGAGTAGCTAGAGAAAATTAAAGCAGAAAGAAAAAATACCTTAAGGACATTTAGGAGCAAAATTCTCCAAAATACTTAAAAAGCAGGAATGCAAAGAAATCATAAGAGTAAAAATATTTCAGTGAATAATTTCAAGAAGACTATTAAAAACAAAACATAAGCAGTATCCAAATGACGACTAACAAAAAATATCAGAGTAAAGTACAGTTGAAATGGAGCGTATAGCAACAAACATAGTTTAGGAGATTAAGAAAATACCTAACTACCCACCATTGCTGCCAAAATCTAAAGATATGATTGTGTCTCCAGCAGCTGGGGCCAGCAAAGTTAAAGCATCAGGTTCCTTCTTAAGTTTATCAAAGAGGCTACTTGTATCCTCTGATTCAACTTTGGTGAAGAGCTGAGTCATTTTCATATCTGAAGACTCAACTGGTTTGAGGACACATTCAGTTTGTTGAAGGGAGAAAATCAAGTCGTGCTGAATAATACCACTGTCAAAAAAAGAGATTAGTAATTCTTAAATGATTACTTGAAACAATAAGGGTGAGGGGGACTATGAAATGATCTTGTCTCTTACATTGTCCTTTTTAAAAATGAACATTTTAATATTCCTTGAGATGGATGATTTCTCATGCATACTCGTCACATATGTTTTAAAAGACCTAATAAAATTCACAGAAGTTAACTCAAATATTTGACTAATGAAATTGGCACAAAACAACTCTTTGGGACTAATATATGAAACATGGCCTAAGGATGGTTCTACAATATAAAGATATAAGGGTAAGATGACTACACTCTTTCTAAAATGGGGCACTTGTTTTCTTTGGGGGTAGGAATACGGGTGGGGGAAGGATGATGAACAATAGCTCCAGTTTTATGTTTGGCTTCAATGTAAATTTTATTATTACTTTAGTTAACATATTAAAYGTTCACTTTGTGGAATGAACAGAGGATATAAAAATCAAAATACCCAAACCTTGCCCTCAAGAAGCTTATAACCCCTTGTGAAAATAAAATTGCAAATGTGATCACTGCTAAAACAGAGAAGACTTACTTAACAGAAAGGCTAACAAGTTGAAAGTTGAACTCACATGTAGTTATTAGGCAAAGTGGGGTGAGGGGAAGAGAAGAGTATTCTTACATAATGGTAATGTCACACAAGAACGCTTTTTTTTTTAAACAATTTTTTTAGTTGTAGATAGACACAATACTTTTATTTATTTTTATTGTGGTGCTAAGGATCGAACCCAGTGCTTCACATATGCTAGGCAAGTATTCTACCACTGAGTTACAACCCCAGTTCACAAGAATTCTTTTTTTTTTTTAAATATTTTTTTAGTTGTTGATGGACCTTTCTTTTATTTATTTGTGTGTGGCGCTGAGAMTAGAACCCAGTGCCTATAGGCAAGCGCACTATGCACTCTACAACTGAGCCACAACCCCAGCCCCCACAAGAATTCTTTGACACAAAATTGAAACACTGAAGGATAGTGTCACAAGTGGAAAAAATAAAAACAAATAACCAAAGTCTTCCTAAGAGGAAGATCAGAGATTTTGGAGGAAGAGCTAAATCTATGGAAGCAAGGGAGTATGATAACAAGAAATGATGCCATGCAAGTAGACAGGAGTTTATCTTGGGAGTAATAAAGGGATCTTTAAAAAAAATTGTAAAGATGTATTACTCCAAAATTCACTATTAAAAGTCTATCCTTTATGGTACATCAATGGAGCCCAAGCCCCCTTTGAGTTTAGTTCTTTCCAATTCATGAATTACTATTTGCTCAAATATTAAACTATTTAAAATCTTTAAAAAAGAACAGTGAGAAAATGATATCTACATAGAAAGCTCAGTCAGGTATATGAACTAGAATGTTGTGATAATGTGGAAAACAGACTAAATGGGGAAGATTCTACTGGCATAAAGCTAATATAAGATTAATTTAAGATGTCCATATAGTTACAAACTAATGAACTAAGAGAGGAGTTCAAGAATATAACAAAAGCCACATGTCACTTTATAGCCTTTTATAGCAGCCTCACCCAGACTTTCATATAGTCTTTGTTAAAACCTTTTCAGGTATTATCTTACCTACATGGATGGAATTAGGAGAAATGAGACTTCTCCAAGGTCACAGATCTAATGAGTGGCAGAGCTATGACATAAGACCATTCTAAAACCAGTATTCTCCCTACACAAAAACAGCTGCCTTGAGCTGTGTATGTAGATAGTATACGCCTAGAGTTGAAAGACTAAAGCAAACTAATCCATAGATCAAGTATTTTTTTTTTTCAAGGTCTTATTAAAAAACAGGAGTCAAAGCGTGGATAGACAACTACTGGTAGTATTCAGTGGAATCACTGTGAACTATTTGACATGAAAATCATAATTCTATAGAAAAGTGAAAATAAAATTAATATTTACAATTTCTTCTTCCTATAAAAAGTGCCCAAAGGGGCTAGGGTTGTAGCTCAGTGGTACAGCACTTTCCTAGCACATGTGAGGCAGTGGGTTCAATTCTCAGCACTGCATATAAAAAAATAAAAAATAATGAAAATCCATTGACAACAACAACAACAAAAAACTATTTTTTAAAAAAGAGTGTCCCAAAACTTAACTACTTGGTCTCCCCAAAATGTTTATTTGTCAGCTTACCTTACAACATAATTTACACATACAATGCATTGTGGTTGAGAGTTCTTGGTGTTATATATAACAGTTGCTTGAGTTTCTACCCAGACATATCCACCTCTTTTGGCAAGCATCCTATACTGTCCTGTGGTGACTTGTCCTTTAGTAAACACTGGGAATGAAAAAGAAAAAGAATGATACAGAGGAAATAGCTTTGAATTTTCAATCAAATGGATAGATATTGAATGTAGATCACTGTTTTAGAAAAGGGGAGAAATGTTTACTTTAGTGGTATCAGTTGTTAACTATTTAAATTGAAGGAGAAAGCCCCAGGATAGCTGAAAACATGCCCCCCCCCAATCTTTACTGTAAATAAAACAAAAAGCCAAGAGAGAACAGTGGCTGAAATTACTTTGATTTATGTTGAAAATGTCAGACTAGAGAATGATCACTGCTTGATATTACAAGAAAGCAGTACTACCATTTCCTTAAATTCCTGCTCTAATTTCTAGACAATCAGACTTCAAAAAACTGCACTTTGTATATTTGAATATAAACTGATACCATAATGTAGGCCTTTGGCAATTCATGCAATGTAAAATTAACTTATTTGGAAAAAAGCAGTGAATAAGGGGCTGGAGTTGTGGCTCAGCGGTAGAGCGCTTGCCTTATATATGAGGCGCTGGGTTCCATCCTCAGCACCACATAAATAAAGATCTATTTAAAAAAAAAAAAAAGAAAGCAGTGAATAAATCATATTGATGCTATTATAAGTATTCAGGCCCTGAATGCAGATGGATTTGGGCTCTGTAATTCAAGGCTAATCACACTTTTAAGTGACATTTGGGCCTTCCTAATCACATTGGGAAGTCATGTTTAGATATAGATTAAATACACAGGTGAGAAATTCCAAAGTTTAACTTAAGTTTGGATCTTAAATAACATTCATTTGAATAAAATTAAGAATCATCTTATTATCAAGAGTACTTGTTATCACATGTACATGATGTTGAACACCTTCACATTCATTGAACAAGTATTTTCTGAATGCCTTCAGTATGCCAATCACTGATCCAATTATTTAAGTATGGATTCTGAAAAGGATGCTGTTAAATATTCTATAATATCTGGTTGTTTTAAAAGTCTTTGTGGGGGGCTGGGAATGTGGCTCAGGCGGTAGCGCGCTCGCCTGGCGTGCGTGCGGCCCGGGTTCGATCCTCAGCACTACATACAAACAAAGATGTTGTGTCCGCCGAGAACTAAGAAATAAATATTTAAAAAATTCTCTCTCTCTCTCTCTCCTCTCTCACTCTCTCTTTAAAAAAAAAAGTCTTTGTGGGGCTGGGGTTATGGCTCAGCATTAGAGCACTTGCCTCGCATGTGCAAGGCCCTGGGTTCAATCCTCAGCACCACATAAAAATAAATAAAAGTTATTTAAAAAAAAAAAAAAACTCTTTGTATTTAAAATGCTAAATGTTTTATATATTACTAAATGATTCTACTTTTATTGGTATTCATTGTAATAAATCTCAAAAGATTTAATGACCAAAATCCTTATGAAGAGGTATGTTAACAATTTAGTCTAGAAAGACTAATTTTAACCAGAAAGTTAGATGTATAGACAGAGAAGATTAAATAATTAGAATATGCATGAGTTTCCCCTTTATTATACTTACTATCGTGATGAGTTTTGGTCAGATGATCAGAGTCCAAAGCATGATAATATTCATAAATTGAGCGGCCCAAAAGTTCCTCTGGCTCATATCCCATCAATTCAGTAATTCTGTTAGTAAAAAAACAACAACAAAAAAGAACAAGGACTAATTAAAAATTATTTTTTGCTTCTCCAAAGTAACTGATGTTCATTAGCCTTATGGACAAGTGAGTTTTCAATAGTAAAGACTGCCCATTGCTTAAAATAAATTTATATCTCACCTTTAGAAATCCTACGGTTATTGGGCTGGGGTTGTGGCTCAGCTGTAGAGTGCTTGCTTAGCACGTGCAAGGTGCTGGGTTTGATCCTCAGCACCACATAAAAATAAATAAAGTAAAGGTATTGTGTACAACTACAACTAAAAAATAAGTATATAAAAAAGAAAGAAATCCTACAGTTATTAAGTACAACACCATGCATTTCGTAAGTCCTCTATTTGACCATTAGTTATTCCCTTCACCCAAACTTGTTACCTGTTTTCATCACATTCTATTGTACCCACATTGCAAAGTATACATATATAGATATGAAAAAATGATAAAATTTGTAAAGGTAGTCACTGACATTTATCTACAGAGTACCTACACTAAATGGGAAGTGAAGGAACAAATATTCAGAAGGCTTTAGAAGATGCTTTATTATTTAGTTTCTAAAATTAGTTATACGAACTTTTAGGAATAATTTCAGATGAAACAATGATATCAAATTGAAAATGGGTGGAAAACTAATCTAGTTATTCCATCTGGTTTCCTAGAAAGTCCTTTAGAATAGAGACTAGATTTTATTCTCTGTATCCAGTTTGGAACACTTCATGAGAACCCACGTTATGAGAAAGAGAACGCTGTGCTCTTATTAACACCATATTAAACAGAAATATTCTCTTCCAAAGCCTTTCTGGGACCAAAACATGTTTAGATTTCTCAGCCTTGATTTCAAAGGACTTTTTTATGAGGAGCAAACAAAAATTCTATATTACACTGTGTCCAAAAACCAAAAACACCTAATTACAGAAAGGACACAGGCGATACAACTTTGTTATTAAGGTATAAAACTAATACTGCTCTAAGGCAAGACCTGCTATAATAGCTTGTTCAAAAATAAATAGAAACCTTATTTATCAAAACCAAAGCAAACACATGTTATTGGAGAAAAGTCAAAACAAATTTTTAAATAAACCAGCTAATTGTTGGAAGAAGGCATTTTATCTAAAGTTATTTTAATATGTGTTGTAAGAATAATTTCTTTTTTTTTAAAAAATTATTTATTTATTTTTTAGTTTTCGGCGGACACAACATCTTTGTATGTGGTGCTGAGGATCGAACCTGGGCCGCATGCATGCCAGGTGAGCGCGCTACTGCCTGAGCCACATCCCCAGCCCTGTAAGAATAATTTCAAACTTAAACATTACTTTAACAACAGTTAACAATGGAGTATGCCTTCTCTGTAATGTCTGGAAATACAAGCAATTTATGATGAGTTTCTATAGGTATTTTTTAAATAAAACAAGCATGTTAAATTTAAAACATGAACAATCCCAACACTTTTCAGTTTGTATTTTGCTTTGGTCAAACTTGGTGTATTTGTTCATCACCCATCAGTTATCTTGGAGGGTGTTTATTCTATATGAATATTGTTTCAAGTTTGTATGGAAAATTGTAGCTAGACATTTCATTGTCCCCAGTCTGCAAAAKAAGCACAATTCTATTGCTTTGTCTTGCTTATAGTCATTACATCATTACTTTTTAAAGTAAAGAAAAACCTTAATCCTTCACAAAGATATTCCCAAACACATCAACACTAGGTGGCAGCATTACAAAAACAAATACTGTCCTTAAACTATTTATTTGTGGATCATATCCAGGACCTTTGATATACTAACCAGTGTTCTACCACTGAGCTATAACCCCGAACCTAAAAACAGTTTTAATTGCTCTTATGTATATTACACATTTAAATAAAATTCTCATGGAATTTAAATACTTTTTCACTATGCAAATCTATATACCTTTGCTCCTGGCATTGTTCTAAGTATGACTTATCTTTTGGTGCACTTATCATACAACTTGTGAAACAAGGTATTAAATGCAATGATGTGTATCTGTTCTAGGAATCAGAGGAACTACCTCTATCATGAGGAGAAATGGTCAGGGTGAGGGACAGCTTCTTGTGAGAGAGTTTTGTATAAAAGAGACTCAAAGAGAAGGCAAAGCCACTTTAGGAAGGTACAGTACAAGCAAAGAGAAAATGCTTAACATGGTGTACATGTAGGTATGGTTGGTTAGTGGGAGCAAGTGGAAAGAGATGATGCTGGAGAAGGCGGCAAGAGGATCACTTTGATGAGAGTCATGTATATTATTTAAAGGAAGTTTTGTTGTTTTTTTTTTTAAGAGAGAGAATTTTTTAATATTTATTTTTTTTTTAGTTTTCGGCAGACACATCAGCTTTGTTTGTATGTGGTGCTGAGGATTGAACCCGGGCCGCACGCATGCCAGACAAGCGCGCTACCGCTAGAGCTACATCCCCAGCCCCTAAAGGAAGTTTTTATTTAATCAGATGTTAGTACTTCTCAATCTGAGGTATGTTTACTACTAAGGGATGCCAAGAAGTCAAAATATAAACAGTTGATAGTTTTCCTTGAAGGTCAACTTTATTCATATAGGAAGAAACAAGATAAATTAATTTTATAGAGGAGGAAAGATCTAGAAAGTTTGATCAAAAAGTATTTTTAATGGATAGGGGAAACCTGTGAACTAAAGCAGTTGCTCTACAAATTCACTCTAGGATTTGTTCATATTTATTTCTATTTTGTGGCATGAACATAGTAGATGTTCAAATAAATGTACTGAATAATTACAAGTGGATTACTTTAATGTGTTAGATTTTCTTAAAATTGGACAAATATTTTTCCATGTCTTGGCTCAAGGGTTACAGTTGCTGGAAAGAGCTTTGACCAGAAAACAATCATTTCCCTCTCTTAGATCTTTAGGATAGATGCTTTTGGTCTTAATTTCTCTGTCATGATCATCATGCTAATTTTCTGAAAGACCCAGAGATAAATGTCATTCCTTTCTCATTTTTACTCCATTTCTTTCCCTTCTCCTCAGCTACACCTATACTTCAAGTTTAAAAAAAAAAAATTCCTCTAAAGTAGGGTGGACATCACTATTCCATCATATATTCATATTAACACTGCCAATAAACACCATGAAATAGTTTTTTAGCTTTTGTATCTTCATTTTCTTAAAGTTGGATAGCTATGGTGAGGTATTCCCTATTCGACTTGGCACTCAACAAACTCCTTTAGTCCTCACAGCAGCTTTTTGAGGTATGACCCTTATTTTTATAGATAAGGAATCTGAGTCTTAACAACAGCTAAGTACCGGAGCTACAAGCCAGGTCTGAATGCAAGATTATGTGATTTCAAAGCAAGTGCTTTATCAACATTTCTTTGTCCAAAGGATGGGCAATTTTTGTCTACTTGTATTGAGTGCTTAAAGTTGGTTTTCTCATAAGATCTTCAAGTTAATCCCATAAAGTAGGTGTTATTAAAGATTAAGAAACTAATGTTCAAAGAAAAGAATTAGTTTGTTTAAGATCCTTTTGATATAGGCACCAGAGAATTTAGTAATCTGGCTACAGAATCAGTTTTTAACACTATGTTATATAACCTTAAGTAAATAATGGGACAAGTAATAAAACCATAAAATAAATGTTATGGTAGTTGTGTACGAGAACAGTATAGTTTCTTCTTAAATGCAGAAGGAAAGATGTAGAAAGTGAGAATGTTAGAAAGTACAAAAATTTTTTTTAGTGCAGAATGGGAAAGGGCAAAGGCATTAGTCATTAAAACATCCCATGGGTGGTATGTTAACAATCATGGACATTATAGGAAGAAAAGAATTGTTTTTATTTTTTTATGTTGTGTGAGAACAACAGTGGTACAGTTCAGTAACAAAAACATTTAYAATACAGAGAAATTGCTAGCCAGACAGAAATATCAAGTTGGCAATTACAAAGAAGTAGTTACAGAAATAAATTTGGGAAATGGGGATAGAAAGCACAAGCAGGATTGATGGTTCTTGAAAAAGATGTAAGATGAGGCCGACCAAAAAACTTTTGCTATCTAGTCTATAACCACAAGTCATCTTCCTTAAAAYGTGCTACTTTGACATTTATTTTCTCTGTTTAAATAATAAGAGTCCTTAAAGAAAACGACATCATCAAATAATTTTTGAATAGCACCTGGTAACGTATACATAGTAGGTTCCAGGATATATCATTCCATTAATCTTACAGAAAACACATAATATGCCATTGAGTCTTCAGTGAATATTTAAAAAACCTTAGACAAGTTAAAAATTTCAAGTAATATTTTATGTCTAATTTACCTTTCATCACAATAAGAAAATTTCATATCCAGACTGTGTCGACTGAGAAAAGTCTTGCTGTCTAAAGGAATTTCAATATTTGATGGATGAGGAATGGGTTCACAAATCAATACCAGGCATGTCATTGGTGGTTTCTTGTATCCACACTGAGATTGGTTACTGTTGGTATCATATACGTGAATATGGCCTGTACAGTGAAGTACCTGGGTAGGAAGAAGAAAAATGGAACATTTTTTTTTTCAAAGTTGTAATGCTAGAGAGAATAAAAACACAGAGATAAATAGCTGAGTCTGACAGGTAAATAAGTTTTAATTAAATTTACTGTCATTAGTGGATTAAATGTATTTTTTTGAAAATTAATAAAGCATGTTCCCCATGACATATTTCCTAAGTACCCTACATTACTCTTATATAAGCCTGGTGTTTGTTTCTTCATTTAATCTGATTATTGTGGTTGCTGGCTGCTCTGCCTTGATGACTGTGTTTCAACACTGAGCAAAGAAGCGGTACAATGAGTAGAAAATTAAACTCTTATCAGGATTCTAACACTGACTGTTTACCAAGCCAACTGATCCAGTTAGCTTGGTACACAAATCTTAAAACACATAATTTAGTCTGTGCCTCAAGTTGTAAAATTACATTGTTTTAGATTTTTGAGAATTATACACTCATTATTTGGAAATGCAAATGGTAAATCCAAGGAATAACTATAAATTTTCCCTCACAATTGTGAAACTGTTTTTAATTCTAGCAATGTCTAGATGTATGAATTTATTTATAAATCAAGCACATAATCAGTCCTAAGTCAAAAAAATGATTTACCTTCCATGTTGCAGACTTTATGTTCATAGTTCTTCCCCTGCTAGTCAGGGTACACTTCATTCTGAGAAAAAAGCTTCGCTGTGTGTTTTGTTCTTTACCCTTTTTCACAGGGCCTAATGAAAACATGAAATAAAGTTTTAAAACATAACTAAACATATGAATTTGTTACAATAAAAGTGAGTCTCAGCATGAACATATTCATAGCCTTACCCACTCTAACATATACAAGAGAACTGACAGGCTCCGCTCAGTACTAGTATTTACAATACTTAAGTGATTCCCTCACTTGGCAGGAGGRCGGCATATTGGGATAATAGGTAATCATTCAAGCCAGTAAATTTGGTCAAATTACAAGGAAACAGGAAAATGGTATGAGTTTGCCCTATCAACATATATGCTATCAGTGCTAAGCATGCTCAAAAAAAGAACCTCAGCAAACTCTTCATATAACCAAATGTGATAGCTCAATAAGTAACAATGTATTTATAGAACTTTTAAAACAACAAGTTTTTTTAATGGCAAAAAAGCATTTTTACATATGTTATTTTTTTCTTAAATTATCCTGGAAAGGGGCTGGGGATGTGGCTCAAGCGGTAGCGTGCTCGCCTGGCATGCGTGCGGCCCGGGTTCRATCCTCAGCACTACATACAAACAAAGATGTTGTGTCCACCGAAAATTAAACAATAAAAATAAATTATTTCTACTGTGTTACTTTGGGGGAAAAACCCAGATTGAATAACTAGGTTACAGAAATAGGGGTTTGAAATATAGCTAAGAGGTAGAGGCTTGCCTACTATGTCTGAGGCTCTGGGTTCTATACCCAGCACTGGTGGGTGGGGGTGGGGGGGGATTACAGAAATAAATAAATTCAAGTCTATTTACTCCCATTCCAAACATCATAACTAAATAATGAGATTACACTCAGGTGATTAAGAAAAAAATATTTTGATTTCTTATATTCATTGGTCAGTCTGGTTCAAAACAAATACAAAAATACTCATTATTCAGAACTTGAACTCTATGTTGTAGGTGATACAAAGATGAATAATCAGACACATTCCTTTTCCTGATGAAGTTAAGCATGCAGTAGCTCTCCTAAGGTCAACAACAATACAATACAGAATTAGTACTCAAGACTTTTTAAGAATGCTTTTAAGAGAAACAAATCAGAAGGTAAATTCTCATCAGGGAGAACCAAGAAGGCTTTCTCAGAAAAAGAGACATTAGAACTTCAGTAAGTAGAGATGGGCTAAAAGGGTATTACAGAAGAAGGAAGAGAATGAAAAGCACAGAAAGGAAAAATAGCACATGTTCAGGAAATAGTACACAGTACAGTGTGTCTGCAGGATAAGGTACATGTAGAAGAGTAGTCAGACAAAATTAGAAGGAAAGGTTAGGGTTATTACTATAGAGGGACTCTGATACCCAAATGAGGAGTTCAACTTAAATATATAATTTGATAGAGTGATAGTATTGAGGGATTCAGCCAGTAGCAGTAGTAGGACTAAAAAGAAGGTTGGCAAAAGGCAAATGAAGAAGTACAATCTGTAAACACTGATGAGATAATTTACAAWAATATATCTAGAAATCTAAAGGTTAGTATATTGAAGAACACTGTCAATTGGAAAAGAAACAAAAGAATAAGTTTAAATTTAGGTATGCTTTGCTAGAAATGTTAGACTCTTAAGGAAGATGAGTTCTAGGACTGAATTTGCCTTTCCTAGAAGCATTAAGAATTGATTTTAAAATAATGCCACAAAATCACAGTGGTCTTAATGATGATATAGGTGTATTATGGAGGCAGGTGATGATGGTTATGAAAGGTGCAGTAGATATTTGTGGGTAAACTCCTTGAGGTATTTGCAGTCCTTCATAATCTATGTTCAAATTAAACTGCTCTTTGGAAACTAAGGGCTTTGATAGGGTGAGGCAGGAGGATGGAGATTTCACAGCCAGCCTTAGCAACTTAGCGAAGCCCTTTAAGCAATTCAGTGAGACCCTGTCTCTAAATAAAAATACAAACTAGGGCTGAGGATGTGGCTCAGTGGTTGAGTACCCCTGAGTTGAATCCCTGGTTACCAACCCCTCCACAAAAATAGAAGAACTATATTTTCAGCTCTCTAAAAATGAAGTCATATTTTTTATTTTATGAATTCTAAAAGTTTTTTAGAATTCAACGAATAATCGGACTATTTGTGTAAACACACTACAGGCTCTTAAGTATCATTAAAATATAATGCTTTGCAAGAGCACTCAAATAAGTGAAAAAAATATTTGTGTGCCTGAAAAAAGTACATTTGATGCAAAACACATTTAAGTGACTAATCTGATGTCAAACAACACATTAACATGATTGCTAAATCAAAACAAGACTGCCTAGTATCCATTTATGGTCTAGTGGCAGGAAGCCCCAAGCAGTCAATATAAACCTCAAGCCTAAAAACTATTTAACTCATTGAAAACCCATTTAGGACCTTGCTTAGAGCATATTTATTTATTTTTTACACAGAATTCTACACTTGTTCTTTACACAGAAACCTAAAAATTGTGCATWTGTTTCCCATTTTCATAGTAAAAACACAAAATGAAATTAAAAAGCAAAACAGGGCACCTATAAATGATGGAAAAAAAAAGCAGAAGATTGCAGTTAGAATTCAAGAATACTAAAAAAGCTCATAAGTGCTAACAAGCATGGACTGAAGTAGTCTCCCAGAGTTCAACCCAAGCTCTGCAATTTGCTAACCAAGTAATACTGGACAAGTTACTCAGTAACTAGGTACCCCCAGTTTCCTCAGTAAAATGGAAACCAACATTAACTTCACAGGGTTATGAGGAACAAAGAACTTCAAGCTATAAAATGAAGATGACAGTGTCTTGGTCACTGAAGTGTCCACAGAGTATTCTCTCAATAGAGGTTAGCTACTATTATAATAAATGGGATAAAAAAGGAAACCTTAAATATTATTCAAGAAAGTACTACAAACTTGAAGTTGTTTAAAACAGAAGCAGAGAAACTTATTTAAATCAGAGGGTAGCAAAGTATAATAAGTTTTCATTGTGGTAACTTTCAGTCATGAAAAGTGGAATTGATCAAATGAGTATACTTGGCTGAGGAAGGCACAAATGTGAAAAAAACTTTAGTTATTAAATTTTTGTAATTCAAAAGGTACTTTTCAAAAATCTTGGAATATTGTTATTGTTAACAAATCACAAGAGTTAAAGTTTTATGTCTTTTTTAATGTGTGAGCATTCATGATTACAAAACTTTGTAATTGAACTACATAACTTCAAATTATTTTTTAAAAATCCTGAGAAATCAAAGTAGTTATTGTGCTCTTAAAACTCTAAGTCAACTTTGTCCTTTTTTCTTCTTGGGTCTCAAAAAAACCTGGATCTAAACTGGCACCTTAGCTTTAATAACTGTAAAATCCTGTTATCTGTCATTTTCACTTCTTATAAATTAAAAWAAAACAAAACATTATGTGTTTTATTTTAATTTATAACTTTCTTGGTCTTCATTTTAATTTATACATTTTACTATTCATGTGCATGTGTCTGTATAATTATTTAAGAAGTTAGGTCAGTTTAAAAAAAAATTGTAGTCAGGTGCTGTGGCACACAYGTGATCCCAGCAGCTCGGGAGGCTGAGGCAGTAGGATCCCAAGTTCAAAGGAACCCTCAGCAAAAGAGAGGTACTAAGCAACTCAGTGAGATCCTGTCTCTAATATACAAAATAAAGTGCTCCTGAGTTCAATCACCAGTACCCCCACCCAACAATAAAAGGTATTTCTATGAAATTCCCAAAAAAAGTATAACAGTTTTAACAAAGAACAGTGTTAGCATTTTACTAAATGTGAAAGAACATTTTTGCCTTAGATGAGTACAATAACGACATTTAAAAATTAGTAACATATCTGATTAAGTAAAACCTCTTGTCAYATTAAATCAAACAGTAGACTTTTCCTCTCACCATTTCTGTGTGTAAGCATTTCTCTCATTTCCTCATGGTCACACGGATGAGTAAAATCAAACACACTGTGTCCAGTTAGTTCAAACTGTAAACATATTTTTAAAAATTAGATCTACATCATAAAATCATAAAAACATCCAAAGGGCTTTTAATATGTGGACATTTTACCTGAGTTAATCCCATGTATTTGTTCACGTTATCAGAAATGTAAATCATGTCGCCATCATCTGTGAGCACCATAACAAAGCCATCCAGGGCTTTCAAATAAAAGCAGTTCATCTGTGCCTTCATTTCATCTTCAATATCCAGGTCACCTGAAAAGGTGTGAAGAGGAGGAAAATAATTTAAAAAGTTATGACTTAAATGATGTAATGTTTAGATGTTATTATAAAGTTTTCTCCCAGATACTTTTCTTAATATCTACAGTATCTAGGCTGGGACTGGGGCTCAGTGGTGGAGCACTTGCTTAGCACATGTGAGGCACTGGGTTCAATTCTCAGCACCACATAAATAAATGGAATGAAGTTATTGTGTCCATCTAGAACTAAAACAATACATTAAAAAAATCTACAGTACCTGCTTTTTCTGTATATTTTAATTTTTCCCCATTGCTTTCATTTTAATACAGAACAATAAAGGCTGAGAGGACTAAGATTTTGCAAGCTGCTTTTCATAATTATTTGAAGTAATACAGCCAAACCAAAAAACAAAAAGAAAGACCATATTTTAGAAGGTAGGTAAACAAGAAAAGGGAGGCAGAGGTAAATATAAATTTTATATGCATGGGCATAAAAAAATCATCAGTGACCACCTGCTAATAATAATTTCTAATTACTTCTAATTTCTAATTTTCAGGCCTGTTATATATCCTTTTTAAAGCAACTCACCAGCATCCAGAAGTTTCCTCACACGCAAATAACTGATGGTAAGCCTCATAACAGAAGCCTTATCAAGATGTGAGCTCACATTATGGGGAAGTGGCAACTGATGAGCAAGTTCATAAAAAACTTCAGACTCTTTGCTTCGTCGAGATCTGGCTGCATCTCTAGACTTTTCTTTTCGACGTTCAGAACTTATCCTACTTAACAACAAAAACAACAAAAAAGAGACAAAAAATGTATATAAGCTAATATGCCTTAGCTTGAATAAAATTAATTTTACATTTTTCTTACCACAGGATTAGAAGATGCCATGTAATTGAATTGTAAGAGATTTGTCTAGTAGATTAATGCATTTTTATACAAGATGACTCTACATATTTTGGATCACTGCAAACATAAAGAACTCTCACAAGACCAAGATTAAGGTTTAAACTTTGCCAAAGCAGGTGTTTCCTCTTTAGCATGTCAAATTGGAGATGTTTTTATTTTAGCTAAAAACTTCAAGAGACCTACATATCTAAGTGTGTACTTAATAGTCTTTCATATGTAGTCTAAACAAAAAGAAACTATGATTAATTCTGGAAAAACAACCTAAAGTTGTACATAAGAACTTGAGAACAGGAGTTGTTAAGTAGATAGTTGTTAAGTAGACACACCGATTTTTAATGTAACTTTCTTTTGACCCCAATATTGTTCTACTCTTCTACCCTACCTACCAAATGAGGAACACCAACAGTAAGCTATAGAAATTCATATTAAGCTATAATAAGCTACTTTTTTCAGGTTGCCTACTTCCTTAGCAGCCTTTTATCTATTACTGGAGTAATGGGTATAAAATAAATGCAGGAAAACAAAGTACATGTATAAAAGCATGATTTGGTGTGAACATACTCCATATACAAAGATATGAAAAGTTGTATTCTATATGTGTAATAAGAATTGTAATGCATTCTTGCTGTCGTGCATTTAAAAAAATAAAATCAATAAAACAAAAAAAATGCAGGAGGATGGAGGAAAATAAAGATGTGGCACAATACCAAAATTTAAAGGGATAGGTTGGTGAAGATAATAAAGGTGTTAATATAATGATAAATCTTTAGGGAATTCTTCCAAGAATAAATTCAGCCAGATTTTCAAAAGTCAGATCACACAAATCGACTTCCTTTGCTTAACTACTAAGCTCCATCTTATTGATGGAGTTGAAGTTAAGTCTAAATCTGGTTCTTTTCTTGGCAGCTTCTTTAATGGCTATTGTTATTAAAGCCTACTATGTACAAAACACTGCCCTGTAATAGGTGCCTAATAGATTAAATAGTATCCATATTTTACAAATGAGGAAACAGATTCTGCAGGTTAAAATCAGCAATTCTGTAGCAAATAATTTAAAAGCAGATAGTTTAAAAGCAAATCTGTTCTTCCACAATTTTCTCTTAATATAAAATGCTACCTGTTTTAAATACTCAGCTGATCTTCTTTGCCCTTCAACTCAATCCTGTTAGTCAATTATTTACTAAATGTTGAAAATAGCCCTTGAAATTTACTGAGCATTCAGCAGTGTAACAGAGGCTTATTTCACTTAATCCTCCTCATAACCTATGAATGAAGTACATAATTGTCTCTACCTCAAGTCTCTCTTCCCTTTAAAAGATCTTCAAAGCTAAAAGTTACAATCATAAAAACAACTTCTCAAGTAACAAGCAGTTTTCTCAGTTATGTTGTACAACATGAAAATACCTAACAGTTTTATTTTGACAATAGAGATACTATCGTTTATAAGTTTGTGTTTATGTGACTATTATGATTTAATAAAAATGTAAACATTGATTATAGAAACTGATAAAAATTTTCAGTTCAAGCTATCACTTGTAACTAATTATCTTTATGAAGCATGGTTTTCTCAGTTCTCTACAGTAAAAATTAGACCCTGAGACTCCATGAAAATGCAACAATGTCAATAGCCTGCTAAGGTTATTTTTTAGGTGCATTAGAACTGCTTCATTGTTCTCACTGACTAAATGTTTTCAAATAAATTGTACAATAGTTTTTTTTTCTTTTTCCCCCTAAACTCTTTGGTCAGATCCATACCAACTAAACAAATGCTGCTTCCTTCACAATTTCCCCCCTCTTCAATTGGTAGGTGAGAGAAAGTGATAGCTATGGGATTTTACTTATACTACCAGTTTAAGTAAAATCATCAAAAAGAGTATCGATCAACTTTAGGATAAAACTGAATATTAAATGCAATAATTGGTTCAGGTTTCAGAATATTACAAACAACTTGAATCAAACTCACTGGCTTCCTTTTTCTGAAGTACTCAACTAATCTAAGCCACTAACAAATAACTACCTAAATGAAAGACATCGTAAGAAATTGAAATCCTTATAATAAATGTTACATGCATTTAAAAGTATCAACAATGGTGATATATGTCTCCATACCTTTTGAAATACTTGTATAAGGTATGGCAATAATCTTCAAGGCAAATCCATTAGAAATGTGAGGTTGGTTAAAACATTTAAGTTAGTACATGTAGACTGTAAGAAAAAAATTTTTGAGCATGAGCCTGAATTTTGGAAGAAAATAGTTTCAAGAAAACAAGTAATATGATACGAGCTGAAAAACTCTACAAGGCACCAATCGAAACCAGGGGACCTAATAAATGACACCCCCCACAGCCCTACCTCCAATCAGGTGCTTGGGATTGAACCCAGCCAAGGTCTCAAACACTTGCTAAGCATGCCTGCACWCTACCACTAAGCTACACCTCCAGCCCTATAATAAAAGGTTTAAAGGAGAAATGTGTATGATGTTCTTCCCATGTGAGTGGGAGCTCTTAAAAAAAAAAAATTCTCTATTTTTTAAGCTAAAGCTTTCAAAGTTCTTAGGAGTTTCAGCATCTGAACTGCCCAATTTCTTGTCTACTCACAGGAAGGCCCACTTTATCAGTCATATACCACAGAATTACAGCACTGATCAAGAATTATTTGTCAGGGATCTGGGTCCCACAAAGATGATTCTTTAGATCACACAATAAAAGGTGTGTAGACTAGAAGGAACTACGCATATTTTCAGCATGCAAATGAATTATCAATTACATCTGTGTTGTTTTGAAGTATAGATCAAGGTCCATTACTGATTTGTCTGTTAAGAGTATGGTCAAGGGGTGGGGATGTAGCCCAGTGGCAGTATTCTTGCTTAGTATGCATAAGTCCCTGGATTCAATCCCTAGTACCACAAAAAAGAAAATAAAAGTTAAAAAGTATTGTACATGTCAATAATTATGCCTTGAAATTTTGTATAGAAAATATATTTAGAAAAATCATTTTAAGCCCATTTTATTAAGCTTGTATGTAAAGTTTGTGAATAAACAATTGTTTTAAAAAGAATGCCTATTACTTGAGATTACTGCACAAAATAACTGCAGGCATTAAGTCATCTATTTATACTACTATTACTAATTGCACCCCAAAACCCTTTAAGCATTCCTGATTATAAAGATAAGTAACTTTAAGAACTGAAGTTAAGCCCAGTGGTAGTATTTTTGCTTAATATGCATAGTAGCACATGCCTGTAATCCCAGCAACTGAGGAGGCTGAGGCAAGAGGATAGCAAATTCAAAGCCAGCCTCAGCAATTTAGCAAGGCAGACCTTAAGTAACCTAGTAAGACTCTGTTAAAAAAAAAAAAAAACAAACAAAAAAAACCATGTATATTATCTCTCTCTCTCTCTCTCTCTCTCTCTCTCTCTGGGGATGTAGCTTAGTGGTTAAATACCTGGGGGGATCAATACCCTACCTCCCATACAAAAAATAACTGAAGATAAACCATAAGCATTTAAAACATTAGCAAATGATAAGACTTATTTCTACTAAAGTTAATGTAGAAAATTTTTGAAAAATAGCCCTCAGTTCTACTTGATGAAAAACTCTGGCTTTGTTCAGAGTACAAGTTGGATCTTTCTATTTATTAATTTTTGCCAACCCACCTCTATTTTAATTGACCTATACTTTTTAAAGTCTCAGGCTCAAGAAAAATACAAGGAAGTTTTTCATGCTGCTTCTTTAGTTGGCATTTTTGCCTGCACCTTTAAGTTCAAACACCTACTACAATGCTTACTATGTACATGGTGGTTTTTTAAACATTTTTTCACCTATTAACTTGCTTAATTCTCATTATCATCACCATGTTACAGATAAGGATCCTGGTTAAATAGCTTACCCAAGRTTACACAGTTAATAAATGGTAAGATTTGATTTTAACTTGAGCAGTCTAGCTGTAGTTTCTATTGGACTACGCTGCCTCTCAAAAACTCACTCTAATTACCAAGACATGTATTCATAAGTGTAGGCTATTATTACAAAGTTTAAAATTTGTCAACCTCACAAATCCAAAGGCATAAAGAAGTTATTGGGGTTGGCTCTGGAATTTAAAACTTGACCCTAAGCTATTCAGAGGGATTCATTACCAAGCCTTTTTTGAGTCTGCTTGTAAAGCCAAAATCTTAATTGAAAGGCACCTACTGCAATGGTGATCAGTGCTCTCTGCTTCACTGTCTACCAGCTCTTCAAAGCAACCTTTAAATATGTACCAGCCAACCACTGAGGGGAGAGAACAAGAGGACTGTAATTTAATCTATGCTGTAGACTCCACTGGACTTGTATCTGTACAGAACAGCTATTTGAAAATTTTAGTTCACTATTGTTTTTTACTTGTTGATCAGTGTGGCAGTTACAACTTCCTTATTATGATTTTATCTGCTTTTACAAAGTTCTAACTTATATTAGACCAAACTTTAGAATAAAGGCTGAAGTCTTTTTTTTTAATATTAAAAACATTTAGATCTATACTTTAAACTAATGCACATAATATGCATTCTTCTAAGGGGAGATGTGCTTTCTGAGAATTTTGTTGATTTGTTTTTTTGTTTTTATGGTACTGGGGACTGAATCCAGGGCCTTGCACATGCTAGGTAAGGGTTCTACCATTGAGCTACATTCCTGAGACGGGTTTTTAGTAAGGAAAGATCTGGGGTTGGGGTTATGGCTCAGTGGTAGACAGCTTGCCTTGCATGTGTGAGGCACTGGATTCGATTTTCAGCACCACATATAAATAAAGAAAATAAAGGTCCATTGACAACTAAAAAATATTAAAAAAAAAAGAAAAGAAAGAAAAGATCTGCCTCTAGAATTTAGTATGATCA